TGGAGGGATAACAGGTTCGGACTTATTGCTTTCCCATATTACAAAATATCATAGGATGGATACGAAGAATTTATATTGACTAGAGATCAACCCACCAAGGCTTCTTTGGATTGAAGGGAGTCCGGGTCCCCACAAGGCCGAAGGATATCATGAACCAAGTCACATCGGCCCATTGATAAATTATACTAGGAGAAGGGGAAAGGTCGCCCGCCTAACAGATGCCCAGCTAATTTCTCGGTGACTGGGAAACCGTGGAAAAGAAGCATGTGGCTTTCCCAATGGGCGTTTGATGAAGCAAACAAGGGAAAGGTGTCCACACATTTTAGCCCTTGCAAACACTAGAACAGCTCTGCGAGCATGGTGAGAAGACATAGGTGATATCACAAGACTTCTTATAGCCGCATTAGTTGATCCTCTTGCTCGACAAGGCACTAGAATGAGCGACACAATCACCCTATGCATAAGAATTCTTCTAACAGCTCAAGATCTTTATCGCAAAAGGATAGACCATGGAGGGTCTGACGGATTTGGAAGCACTTGAGGAGGCAGATAGAAGAGAAACATGGCTAAATTATTGAGTTGCTCTCACCAGGGTCGGATAGACATTTTATAGCCGGCCTGGAAGGATGAATCCAAGTGCCCGTGAAGCAATGATGCTTTTGTAAAAGTTTTGAAGCATGGGCTCATGAGCTGACATAGACGGCGACAGACAGTAGACCCCAGATCAAGATTTTTTATCCGTGACTGCGGACCTATCGGGGGCACAGACGTGATAATTTTAAAATAAAATTACTTTTATCCCAAAATTGGGGGAGCATGTGTTTACACCAAAATTTAGAAGAAGAGTCACAGGGACTCGAAAGCTCCCAAGATCATGTCATCATGAAATCAATTGCGTGCAGATCAGAACCAGCTGATTCAAATGCAGCACTAGAATCGGCTTTCTTCAGATAAGCGCCATCAGATAACGATGGAGGCTACGATCGGCACTTGGACAAGGCATGTTGAACTCTACAAAAAGGAAAAGATTAGAGTCCAAGTTATCTTAAATTAGGAATGTTTTCTCTTAGGGCCAAAGATTGTGATGAGTCGTGCTTGTTTAGGAGTCATGCGTGGGTCCCGGGTATAAATATCAAAGCCCGGCTATTGTAAAACACACAATCAATCCAATATACAAGTCATATACAAGTCATTTATCTTTATTAAATGGTTAAATAGTATTGAATTGTTTCTTTATACAAAAGGAGTTCGGTTACTTGTAGTCATTGGCTTAGCATAAACCAATCATTGTTGACATATTATTTTCATTGACTAATATTTGTTCAAATAATGATATTTATCCTGAATGATACTGATTCTTCTTACACAACCCCATGAGCTTTAACTGATTCATCCTTATGAATATGCTGGAATCGACTATTTAGTCGATTTCCTTTCATATCGGCTCTCAGAGCCGCACATTCGGGACTGTCTGGTAACACCAGCATGTTCCGCCCTTAATTACTGATAAACTTTCTCTCCTTGTCAATTGCAGGGTCAAATTGACTGGCACGTCTTGGGAGGATTGCGCAGGATCGACCATCCCTGCGCTGAAGCTAGGCGGGTCTCCAGCTCCATCGAGCGGACCCTTCCGGCTTGCTACGTGTGTCCCCGGCACAGAGACGAAATTTCTGTGTCGACAGAATGCCTAACCATGTTCAACTCCTCGCGTCTCCAACCAAATCGAATCCAAGTTCTGATGTTCCAGCTGTGCTGATGCGCAGAAATTTCTTTTTATTTTCTCTTTTTTCTCTCAACAACGGTCCAAAAAATTTAAATTTACTATTTTTTTCACTCTCAAAATGCATTACAACGTTCAACTCTCCACGTCTTCAACCAAATCGAATCAAAGTTTTGATGTTCTACTTGTGGTGATACGCCGAAATTTCTCATCGCCCATGATGCAAACTACAAGCTCCGCCGAGCCATGCCATTCCTACATTCTTGTTGCCTTTTGCACGGCTCGATGTCAATCCAGGATGGCAGTTGTGTAAATTAAAGCATCAAGTAGCACAGATTGAGACCAAAATTGCATGGCACCAAGAATTGAGGGATGGGAATCGGGATCTAGTAGAGGCATGAGAAGGAGAACGGAGGGTGGAGAAATGGAGTGCTCGCCATGACAGAGACCTGAAGCGCCGCGGTGCGCGGACAACAACGACTTGAGGAGCGGAGGATGAGACCGACATCCTTCGTGTTATTAGTGTGGGCTAAGGATACCATTATTTTTGCCTAGGTGTAAGGGCTAACTACTGGTGTGACCCTTTTTATTTTACAGTCCATCGAAACAAGGTTTTCGAGATCAATCTGGAAGATTTATGGCTCCAATTTTACACTGGTGTTTGGATATAAAACCAGTCGTCCAAACATGATGGAAGTATTTTGTACCGGTGAAAGCCATATTCGAGTGAAGTCACTTTTTTCATTATCGATTATATGGTGAGATTTACAGGTACAAATAAAATAATTAAAATTAATATATTTCTAAATGAAACAAACATTGATGATGTAGCTCAATTGGTAGAGCATGAAAATACGCATGATTCAAGACATGTAGCCCCAGGTACGGGGTTCAACTCCTCGCATGATTCAAGACACGCAGCCCCAGCAGCCGGCGCTGCAGCCCCTACCACCACCAGATCTCTCGCCGCACCGTGGATATTGTGGAAGGAGCAGCAAGGCAGAGTGGGACAGAGGCGCGCGACGCGTGATGCGGGCGAACGGGTTGGTCCGTCCGGACGGACGGACGCCGGGTCTAATAATTATCGGACCTGTAAGTACTTATCTAATCGGTGGTAGCGAAAGAACGATTTTGTACCAGTGAAACTAAAGCCCTGCATTCGTATGCACTACACTTTTTCGATTATGGTCTACGATCAAATGAAAAAAATTACATTGCAAAACTATATGAAAGTTGGGAATGTAGCTCAATTGGTAGAGCGTTATTATATGCATAATTAAAGGTACGGGGTTCAACCCCTCGCATCTCCAATTTATTTATTTACTTTTTTGTTTTTATCTCCAATTTATTTATTTGCTTCTTTGTGTGTTTCTCTTTTCTGAGTGATTTTTCAGTTCATGGTGGAACAATGTTTGTTTTTTTTTAAGTACCGTGCATTTATAGCCTCTTTGAGAGAGCCACATCAGCTCAAGATCTGAAAAAAAGGGGCTTAAGCACATATGTTCAGTCAAACATTTGAGCAAGCAACAGTAATCCCTTCTCAAATATATCTCTGCTCCTTTCAACTAGCAGCATCTATTCATCCTCACTGGCTGGCCGGGGCATGACCATGCCAAGCCGATCGGAGCTCTGCAGAGGAGTGGACACTGGCTGGACAGCGGCGCACGGGGCAGCCAGGGCCCTGTCTGGACGGGGGCGGCCGACGGCGCCAATTGAGGAGGCCACGACAGCCCGGCCCTCGGCACCGGCGAGCTTCCTCGAGTCATGGCGACGGCACCAGTAGTCGGGGACGACAAGACGGAGCAGATTTGAGGACTTCCATGGTGTCTGTCCCGAAGCAGGTCGGACGCAGGGGCGTACGTCGAGGCCACCACCAGCTAGCCGGGGGGAGGTGGGCTAGGCGGCGCGCGAGCCCTCAGCCACGCCGCCGTGGGCGCGAGCCCCGCGGCTGATGCAGCCCGCGCAACGCCCTGATGCAGCCGGCGCGAGACGTAGGGTGAGGGGGAGCAGGGAGAGGGAGCTCTGCCGCCCGCAGCCGCGCCGCCGCCTGGAGCCGCGTTGCGTCGGAACCCTAAGCCGCACCCGAGGCCCGACACAATTTCGCGAGTGAAGGCCGGTTCAACGCTTCGAGCGACTGTAGGAAACTCCCAGGGGCATTGCTGTTTTTGGTCCACCTGCCTTTTCTTTTCTATTTTTTTTACCATTTAATCTAAGCATTACCAACAGTGTTAGAAAGCAGGGGTAGACGGCTCATTCGTTTGAAAATATTGATGATAAAATCACAAAGTTAAAAAAATAGAGGTCAAATCACCGTTGAGGTTTGGAATGGGGATAGAGGCCAAATCCATGGATTTTATGTAGATCCTCAAAGGGTCGTCTGAAAAGGTTGGTTCCAAACTTTGTGAAGTTTGGAAAAAAAAAAAAGCATTTAGGCAACGAAAGTAGAGTTTGTTTGAGGGTAAAATCTGAAGCTGTAGCTACCAACGGCCACTCAAATGCATGGTGATTCAAGATGTAGAACCAAACTGATGAACCGAGATGCACTTTCAGAAATTTTAAGTCAAATAAGATCACACACATAATCCCAAGTAAGGCGAAACATCCCTGCAGACTTCAGGTCAGAAATTGGGAGCAGAACAGGTGGCTATAATGGTAGGCCGCCCATATTCACATGACAAAACTTGGCTTATATATACTAAAATATAAATATAATGGGGAAAGTTCAACCTGTCAAGCAATTACTTGTAGCAAAAATTATGCAGACATAGGCTACCAACAGCCCAGTGCAGAGGCTACGGTACTAGTGAAGAGAACTCTGTACATACATGCTGATCTAACAGCTGGCACTAACATAATCTGAACGACCGCTGATGGACTTGACTTGAAACGAAACTGCTCTTGGAAGGACCATGGATCGGACAAGACCTTCAGTCGCATCTGCGAGCCAGCAACTGGTGATCGCATTCACAGTTGGTCCACGGATTAGAATCAGAAACTGGATAGCAATTTATCCAACAAAACCTCCACCAATCATGAATAATCTGCAACTGATGATTTATAAGTCCTCTGCTAGAAAAAAAAAAAGAGAAGGCACTGCCAAAGGCAAATCTACATGATGGAACAGGAAAGTTGGCCTTAGAAAGTGGACACAGGCAATGCGAGCAAGCCAAACCTCACTATAAGGCTTTGCAAAGCAGAAGATCCAGTCAAAATCAAATGTTCTTGTCGACAGTTTTGGTAGAAGGCAGCGTGCCAAATACATGATCCCACAGGGTCGAAGTTATTCCAAAGCCCTTGGTTTGAATTCTGAAGTGATGGTTGAGATGGTACTTCTGAGGTACAGCAAAGGGTAGTCTGAGTGTAACATGACACAGGTGACTGGTTGGATAAGGTTCAGAAATGAGAATGAAGAAAGAACCTTGAGATATTTTGCAGGATCTGATGATGGCTGGCCATGATGCAGGTAGTAGTGTGTGCAATCATAGATCACGTAACCCAACAGGCCACCTCCAAACAGGCCAGGTGTTGTAGACGGGGTCGAAAATAGCTTGATCATGTTCCAGAACTATATGAACAGTTCAGAAAAAAAAGCATTAAAAATTATCGATGTCCAACTGAAAGTTAACAAAGTTAAAGGAAATTCTGATTAGCTTGAAAATGTGATGATTTTCATGTACAAACAGGGCACTTGAACCAGCTTGAGGAAAAAGGATTCGGATGCAATATTGAACAAATGTAGTAACTAGTAAGTAATCTCAACATTAGTGTTGTGGAAATCTGAAATTTGTCAACAGTAGATACCCATACCCTTGTACGTAACACATAAGGAAGATTATTTACCGGAAAGCACAAAATAGCTGCGGCAGCTGGTGGAAAGACAAGTCGAAGTCCATCCATCGGATGCTTGTGATGGCATCCATGAAGAAGATAATGCGCTGTGTTTCCCCTGCAACATATCAAATGGCAGTGATTAGCTCAACTCATATAGTTTGACTTGAGCATATTAGAAGAATATGTTACCAGTAACTTTTGGTTTTTATGTGGAACAAGAATCGGTGTAGCACATATTCGATCAGTGTCCACAGAAATATTCCAAACACAATCATCATAGCTACATCTGTAATTGTACTGCCCATCTGGATAGAAGTACTCAGGCACCAACAGACAACAGGCAACCAGATAAGAGGAACTGCCCACCATTTCGTGCGGGTTAAGAACTGAACAATGAACCAATCATCAGATCACAGTATTCAGGGTTTCAAATGCTATGCAATGCAACAAATCGAATATATTCACCTCCAATATATCATTTTCAAAAAATCGTGGCCCTTCCTTGCTAACAATCGGCTGGTGAACCCACTCCTGATACTGCTCCTCTAGATGGCCAACCTAAAAAATTTCATATGCTTCCAGGCATCAAATCAGCAATAAAAAATTTTGCGTTTTGTAAGGTGTGCATAGTAGTCAGTAAGTGACCTCGTGAAAATAAAGTGATTCGCCATTCTCAGACATGTAAATAATGGCAAAATCTACATGAGAAATAGAAATAGACAACAGAAACTAATAGCCAGTAATTATTTTTAACAACCGGACTTTTGGTCATATGTACTCTAGGCAGCTGACTAGAGATTATCTATTTCATTGGAAACCATCTGTATAACGAAGTTTTGATATATAAGATGTACTGCTGGTACATCAAAAGAACATGTATGTGTGTGCGTGTATAAAGACAGGATTGGAAAATAAAGTATGCTCTCCAGTGATGTTACACTGCAAGACATTTTAATGATCAAATTTCAAATTAAATAAAACTTGAAGAAAGGTAGAGTTATGCTACCTGGAATACTAGAGGCTTGTCCAAATCCACTGTAAAGGCTGCTGCAACCATTTTCTCCGAAAAGTGATGGCTGTAATAATAAAAATTTATAGCATAAGAGTGTTGTATTCAAAATTCAAGAACTTTGAGACACAAAGGTTACAGGAAATATGTTTGAGCCCAACTGCCCAAGAACCTAGCAAATGGAAATATGCGTGAAACTAGTGAGCGGTGGGCACTATGTCCAAATATGACAATGTAACTGACCCCCCCAGTGATTCCAGACAACCATACTACTTCCACATCAATGTCATGATTTGGACACAGAAAGCTCATAGTGTGCCCAATACTAAACTAGTTTGGTAAGGTTCTCAGGCCACTACTGCTTAAACAAATAGCATGTGGTCATAACCCCTGGCAAGTGGCATTACTATTCTATCAGGATCTGGGACCCCAAAAGGCCAGAACCATGTTCTGTGGTGCCATTTAGGCCTATATTTCAAGGTGTGCCAGAGCACCATGGATCAGGAAAACCAGACGATCTAGCACTCACAATCTGGCCTGTCCACACTGCACACAAAATATCTAGAGAAAATGCAAACAACCAGCTTCACAGACAAGAGCACATGGCACATGCTTTCTGTCATCATGTATTCTCGTGCAATTTGACTCTGTTGTCTGATCAAGTTGAGAAAGAATCCAAACATAACCACAGCTAAGAACCACCAGTAGGGCATCCCACAGGAATCCAAGAAAAAACCGTGTGCTGCCTGGGGCTTACCAAACCACTGATGGCTGACCACTTTATTAGACTGAAAATGGGACACAAGCGACCCCTGTATGGCTGTATCACAGTATCAGTTGTTCAAGCAGGTAGGATGGGCATTGGAGGCGGACGTCAGTGATGCCCAACTGAATTAATAATTGTTCAAAAAAGGTAGTGAGCCACAGAGAAAAAAGTGAAATCAAGCATCTGAAGATATGGCTGGCATATATATAATGAATGAAGGCGCAGATGCCATGAACAAAAGTTGGCGTGTGCGTGTTGACATTCTAATAAATGACAGCAAGCACTGGACAGATCCTTCTCCGACTGTAAACCTAAACTAACATTACTCAAGCATTTAGTTGAAGAACATCAGACCTAATAACAGACTAACAGCGCAAGCACAGCCCAGATTTGTTCCTCGAAGGACGAAGCATACTGAACCAAAGTTGACGACGGGCCAGCTCCAAGATTAAAGAGCTTGGGTTGCAAGAACCACCATTGTCCAGACGATTTTAGTGTGAGAGATAACTTCACCGTCTACTAGGTCTAAATGTACCCAGAATCTCGCGCCAAGCAGCCACCGGAAAGGCTACTGTTACCGGCGGCGGTCAATGCAGCGGCCAGGACGGATCTAAACCCCCAAAATCCGGACGGATCTCGGACCACGGACACCCAGCGAGCCTCCAAGTGAACAAAGTGAGGGGGAAGAGAGATCTCCAGGACGGCAACTCACCAACGCAGCAGAAGTACAATGCCGGCGCCGTCGACGGCACCGCCCGCGGGAGGACTGAACTGAAGTGGGGTACGCGCGAAGCGAAGGGGGGAAAAGACGAGTCCGCTTCTTGTCCTCCCGCTCGCCCCGCCGCCGCCGCCGCCGCCGCCGCCGCTTCGCGTTGGGAGCTCGGAGGTGGACAGGGACTGAGATGGAGGAGGAAAAGGCGGCGGCTTTGTGTAGGCGACGGCGATGGCGACGGCCACGAGTGCCACTACTTGTGTAGATTTCCTCCCTGTTTCCTGCTGGAGACAGCTCTGCTTTCCTTGGTGCTGCGACCAAACTTGTTATTGGGCCGGCCACCCTTTTGCCACTCTCCTATAAGCAAGGGGAAAAAAAGGCTTATCGGATGGACCTGTGTCGTTGCAGGCAGAGCTCCTTAGGCCCTGTTTGGTTGGGCTTTTGGCTTTGGCTTTTGGCCCCAAAAGCTAAAAGCTCAACCAAAGGGGCTACTTTTGGAGGGTGTTTTTTCAGAAGCAGCTGCTTTTTCGTAGTTCATTTTTGAAAGCTGGGTTGACCCTGCTTTTGGCTTTTGGCTTTCTGCTTTTCAAAATTGGTGGAATAAAAAGCTCTTCCATAGTTGTTTCAAGAGAGATAAAGATAAAAGGTATATTTTATACTTGTTTAACCAAACAGCTTTCAGCTTTTCTACAGCTCACAGCCCACAGCAGCTTTTTCACAGCTCACAACCCACAGCAGCTTTTTCCCACAGCCACAGCTCAACCAAATAGGGCCTTAGTGGCTGCTGCGCTTCATGCTAGAGTAAGAGCGTCCGCAGTGGGCGGTTCTATACCGGTCCTATGTTTTATGGAGCCGGGTTCATACATTGTGTCCCTGGTTCGTTGAAAAACCTGCTCCCATCCACCGTTCTCTCTCCTGCTGCTCCGGCCCTGCCCAAGCGACGACGCCCCTGCTACCAGTGTGCGTAGGAGGTCTCGATGTCAAGCTCCGGGTACGAGATAGTGATGCAAAGCTGGGAACTTGAAGATCCCCCACCACCGGGCTAGCAGCGCTCTTCTCCATTTACCGACGTTGAAGATCCGGGAGAACATAGGAGAAGACGAACTTAGGGGCATAACTATCTTTGAATTGAGATAGTACACTTATTAGACAATGGATTCAAACAGGACTGGACTAATCACTAGTTCTAGCTAATTACTAGTCCTAGTTCATCCAAACAGAGCCTTAGCTAGCTAATAGCTTGTAACTAATCCTAGCAAGCTAACTATTAACTGCTATCAGTTGCATTGGTTTGGCCCAACTAGTGAGATAGTTGTTAGTTGAATATCCTAATAACTATTAGCTAGACCCATTCTAAGAATTGTTTGGATCCATTAGCTGCTAATAGGTCACAGCTAATATTATCTACTATTAGCTAGTTTGGTCCAAATAGTAAAATAGTTTTAGTTGGGTGCTCAGTTAAGAATTACCTAAACTATTCGCTACATCGAACGAGATAATTATTAGTAGCCAGCTATTACCTCCTTGATCCAAATAGTGCCTAAATAAGCTAACTAGTAGCTTATGGATCAAACAGAGACCAAGTGATCAAGTGATCAGATTGGCTTTAAGTAAGATGTACAAAAACTAAAAATTATTCAACTCTTTGGAAAACGAGATTTGTTAAAAAAAAAGTTAGAACAGAGGGTCTCATATTCGAGGACACGGAATTTTCCCAAAAAGAAAAAGGAAAAAGTTCAAGACACGGATTCAGATCCCGGAAAGATCGTCTCATCTCTTGTGATTTTCGGAAGTGTGGTCGCCACAGGGACAAGCATCCACATCGTTCGGAAGTGTGCTATGCTCTGGTCTGCTCTGCACGAATTGGTCAGTTTCGGAGCAATGGAACGGAACAGCAGGCAGAGAGCTTCAGAATCCGGACCACACATGCACGCACCAGAGCAGACTAACCAAAACCACTTTTCTTGTCACTCATTCCACTTCTTCTTATTCGGATTCAAGAAGGAATGCAACTGCATACAATTTCGCACCCTAAAGGAAATGTTCAGAACACCCCCAAAAAAAAAAAACAACAAACCAAGAAACATGTGTACGTTTGCTCCTGTCTGATTCTGATTCTTCATTCTTGTGCGTAATAATTGAAACGAACGAACAGAACCGAACCGGAAAAAGAAGAAGAAAACAAATTCGACCCGCAAGCTCCTCCGATTCTGATCCCCCGGTCGGTTTCCGTTTCGGCCTTCCGGGGGAATGGGAATCTGAGCTGAGGTCGATCTCGACGCCTTAACTCTCTGCTGCTACCTGCTGGCCTGCCCTGCTGGAACTCTCTCGACTGAGCTGGAGAACGCCGCGCAGAGCATCGCCAGCGCCAGCGCCAGCGCCGGGAGCTTCCCGGCGACGAGGCCCGCGAGGATGATCGGCACGAGCGCGGGCAACGGCAATGCGGCCCCGCGTTGACGGTGCCACCGCTCGCCGTCGTCAGTGACGGTGGTCGCCTCCGGTGGCGCCGCTGGCGTCCCCTCGGCGGGAGCAGCATCTGCTGCTGCTGCTGGCTCGGCGTTGGACTCGCCGGCGCCCGGCTGCTCGTGCCGACAGTCCTTGCCCCGGGGCGTCATGCCGTTCCGCAACTTGTTGGCGAGTAGCTTCCGCAGCGACCTCCTGCTCTGTTTCCGCTTCGGGTTATTCACCGACGACGACGAGTCGTCGCAGCCGAGGTCGCTGCTGTCGGCGTCGGCGGACCAGAGCGAGGCGGCGTCGCTGCCTCCGTTGTCAGACTCGCACTCGCACGGCCTCGGCGACTCCGCCGCCTCCCGTATCGGCGAGACGCATCCGCGCCCGCGGCGCGAATCCACCTCTTTCTTCGTCTCCGGCCGCCGAGCACGCATGGTCCTGGCGGACTCGATCCAGGACAGCGCCACCGACGCGAGCGTGGCCGCGGCCACCAGCTGCTTGCTCCAGATCACCAGCAGCGCCAGCGCCACGGCCGCGAGGAGCCCCGGCCGGATGCTGAAGCCCGCGCCTTTGCCGGGGCCGGTCGGCACCGGTGCTCCTGCCGCTGCCGCTGCCGCTGCCGCCGCCGCCGCCGCGGCGTCGTGATCCACCGAAAGCTCGGGCCTTTGCTGGGTCTTCGCGGTAGCGGCGGCCGGCGGAACGGCGGCGCCGGGGGCGCGGTGCCGCCTCCTGGGGTTCCTGAGGCGTCCGTGGTTCTTGACAACGATATCAGCGAGGGAGGTCGGGAAGCCGGTCTGGACCGGGAGCGGCCCCGCGCGCGCGGGCGGGCGCAGGGACGCCAGGAGCCGGCCCAGGCGGCCGCCGCCGCCGGACGGGCGCTTCAGCGGGCTCGTTGGCATCGCCGGCGCCAGCCGACGCCGGCGAGCATCTATAGGAGGCGTGGCGTGACGCGGCGAGGCTTTGCGCGTCCGCGTTTCTGGTGGAACAGAAGAAGGAAAGCGGCGAGGAAATTGAGGTGGTGGATTTGGAGGTTTCGGTTTGCTGTTTGCATTGGGTGTCCTGTTTTAAGGTGTCCGTTTCTTGGTTGATTCTGCTTGGAGTTTATGACAGCCGGTGATGAAACCAAGGTGATCTTTTTTTTTCAAATACAAATGCTTTGTCTTTTTTAAGAAAAAAAATGCCTTTTGGTTTGAAGTAGTACTCGAAAAGAATGGAGTATGTTATTGTTATGATAAAGGTGAGATTTGAAGACTTTTCTGCGGAAATTTTGGGACAAAAGTACAATTTTTGCAAAGATTAATAACGTGCATATGAATCTATCATGACTAAATACTTTTCATCTATTGTGGTTGGGTCAAAATGCTAGGTTGTGGTTGGGGTGCTTGGTTAAATCACATTCGTATAATCAATTGGTGTGGCTAAATTGCGTGCCAGAGATAGGTAGCTTGAAAGGTGCTTTTGCAGTAGAAATGTTACTTTCGGCATTAATAAGGATAAACGATCCCTGGGGAAACTGATCATAATTACTGAAAAGGATACATATCTCTCCAAGTTGTACCATTGCTTATTTATTAAAAACATGTGGTTAGCGGGTAGTATATATGAATCATATTTTCATGCCAAGCACGCATCAAGCATTAATAAAAAACAATTCTCCTAGATAAAGTTACTACATGCTCCCTCCATCTCTTTTAACTGTCGTTCTCGCTTATCGAGAAAATAACTTTGACTAAAACTATAAAAAATATTAATATTTATAATACACAATTAATATAATTAGATAGATAATTCAATCTATTTTCATGATAAATTTATTTGAAGATACAAATGTTGCTAATATTTTCAACAAATCTAGTTAAACTATCGGCACGTAAATCAACAGCGACAAATATTTAAGGACAGAGGGAGTATTGTTTTTAGATTTTACACAGATTTTACAGAGAGAAAGAGAATCAATCATGTCAACAACTTGTGAGTTCGTGGTCTTCGTTGGTTGTGTCTCGTTGACCAAAGATGTGACTTGTAACTAAGGACCGACATGCCCAAAGCATTCTGCGTCTACCGTAGTTAGGTCCACTCACGAGGAAAAGGGGCAATGAAAGCAGTTTCCTTTAGCCTGTGCTTCGATATATTCTCTCTGTCCTAAAAGATTATAATTCCAGATTTAGAATAAGTCAAAACTTTTTAAGTTTGATTATTGAATTAATAGAAAACAATATCAACATTCAGGTTTGCAAATAGGTTTGTTATAAAATTCCATAATCAATCCAGTGATATTTATCTGATATCATTGATGCTAGTATTTTCTTGTATAGATTTGAACAAACTTAAAATTGTTGAACTCCTTAAAAAGAGTTTTTTTTTTTTTGGAACGGAGGGAGTATGAAGCTAGTGGCAGAACATGGTTTAAGGCTAGCACCATCCTCCGACTTGGTAGGCATACTCAAATACGCAATTTGATAATGCAAATCAAAGTTCGATGAACTAATGAAGAAGAACATCTGTTTTTAGATGTTTGATTTTGAGCTCAGTTTTCAGCATTGTCGTGAGAGGTCCGTGCATGGCACTTAAGTTTCTGTGAAAAACAAAGGCAACGACAACATTTAAACCAAAAGGCATGCATGATCATATTTGAGTTTTTGTGAGACATTGGAACGAAATTTAGCTAGGGAAGCTAGCTGCTAGAGGTGCTCTAACCTAGCTGCCTCAGTTATTCCCTTTATACAAGATACAAATACTGAAAAGTCTTGCACTTGTGAGCTAGGACCGGAACACATCTACCTTCTATGCACTAGTCTGAGAGTAGTTAAACAACCGCCAGTGTGTTGGTGCTTGGTGGGTGTTTGGCGTGTGGCCAAGTGCTACTGAATTCATAAAAGAGAAGAGGAAGAACTCTTCTGAATGGCATGATAATTCTAAAATATTGCTAGATCAAATAATCTAAAGTAATTTATATAGAAATATACCCATATATATTTATCACACTAAATAAATTTTATTAGATTCTTAACGATATAATATATCTATTTGGATTCATACGTGTTAATGGTTTGACTTTTAACTAGACCTAGAATTGCATCTTCTGGAGACAGAGGTAGCAAGTATCATGTCTTGGTGAGAAATTAACCTCTAGGCTGAGTCTCATTTTCTTTTCAACGTTTTTTTGTATCTTGGATTCTTTCTTTTTTAACCTCCTCTTTGCTCTCAGTTTCCTCAGGTTTTCCTGTTTCTGTTGTAAGAGTGTTCTTCCTTGTTCTTTTTTAACCTAATAAATTTCACTGTAGGTGTGAAAGCCCCTCCAGATTCTTAAAAAAAAACAGAATGAAAAGTGACCTCATGCTGCCCATTTTGCGTGACCTTCTCCTCAGGCCGACCATGCGGATCACAAATTCGCAATACACAACAGTGCTTATATACGAGAGGTGCGAGTTTCTTTTTAATAGAAAAAGGTTGCTCGAGCATCCAGCTTGCAGCAACCCAACAATTGGCGTCTCGTCTCGTCTGCCAACCTGATTGCAATTGGCAACTGCAGCTGGAGAGCAACAGATCGAGAGGTGTGGCCGGCCGCCGGCCTCCTAGTCCTTCCTTTGAAACAAGTAGTGTCGGTGTCTCAGCTTTGTTGTATCTTGCATGCTGGTGCTATGAAAGAACAGATCGATCTATCTAACCGGACGCACTCTGCTAGCGTCCGGTCACTCTTGACCGTCCACGTGGTGCCCGCGTTCAACGTTGCGCGTTGATCTTCAACGGTCGGCTGCCACGCGTCAACAGTCAAGTGATGACCGGACGCACCTCTGCGTCAAGACCGGACGCGCCACCGCCTGATTCCGGTCGTTTTCATAGAGCTCCCTAGGCCTCTGTTTTGCGCCCAGACGCGTCAGGTGACTCACGATCGGATACAACACCTGAGTCTGGTCCTTCACCGTCTGCCACGTGTTAGAGCTACGCCCACGCCATTGCGTCAGCGTGCGTCAGAGATGAACGGACGTGGCTCCTACGCGTTAGGTCACTCTTTGCGCCAACGTCTGGTCACAAGACCAAGACCGCGCACTCTCTGCTGCCACTGACCGGACGCGCCGGTCCTGCCGAGGCCAGCGTCCGGTCACTCACAGTAACCTCCTTTTGCCTCCTTTTCTTCACCGAGTTGATCCTCATCAACTCCAATTTCTTCTCCTTTGCAAATGTGCCAATACCACCATGTGTATGTGTGTTAGTATTTTCACAATCATTTTTAAGGAGTTAGCTACTCAACTTGCCACGCCACTCTATCCTAACACTCATGTAAAGTTAGATCGCTCAAGTGGCAATAGATGACCAATATACAAACAAGTTTGCCCCTCTTGATAGTACGGTCATCTATCCTAAACCTGGTCATAAACTTCTCTACACACCTATGGCCGATGGAATGAAATGCCCTTGGTTATACCTTTGCCTTGCGCATTCCATTCCATCTCCTCCATTGTTGATGCAACACATGCACCAACCAATCACCAAATGATATGATCCACTTCGTATCATCACGTGACCGTATTGGTTCATCGATCTTGACTTCACTTGCTTTTCACCGTTGCCTTCGTCCATCGACGCCAAGTCTTGCTCAAGCTTCACCACCACACGGTCCATCGCTCCAAAGCCTCTAACTTGCCCTTCACGCTTGCAACCGGTCCATCAAGCCAAGTCATGTCTTGATCTTCTCCACCTTGATCACATGACTCAATGTCATGTCTCATATGCAATGAGCTCCTTCATCATCACATGTGTGAGCTTTGCAATATCTCCGAGCCATTTCCACCTCTGTGGCATATGTTGCTTACACATATGTACATGTGGACTAATCATCTGTGTATCTAATATAAACACAATTAGTCCACCTAAGGTTGTCGCTCAATTATCAAAACCAAACAAGGACCTTTCACACATGATGATCACTCTAGTGCCTTGCCGACCACACAAGAGCTTTGCCGACCACATAACTTGGTCTTGGACCTAACCTCTCTTGGCTACACACACTTAGCAATTAGGTTAGTCCAATTCGGTTTCATCAATTAACCAAAATCAAACTAGGGCTTTCAATCTCTCCCTTTTTGGTAATTGATGACAACCTTCACAAAGATATGAAATATAATCATTTTGAACTTGAGTTGCTTGTCCAAGCATTTGTTCATGAATCCGATTTGGACAAGTTACACAAATTCGGTTTGGTAGTGTTAGCTCCCCCTACATATATGCTAGATGAGTTTGGTACAAAGCTTGGCACATATGAATTGATAGAAATTGTGGGAGTGTGAATGACTACCAAATGATGCTAAGGTGTAAGAGATGGACCTTTGAAGCGTGATACCGATCGAAGTGCACAATTTACACAATCCTTAGCACCATGATTAGCTAGATACCACTTAAAAACAGCATAAACAACTAGATACCTCATGAAATCAACATTAGAAACAAGGTTCTAGTACCACTTGAAAAACATATATATCTAGCTATCACCTGTGCATGCTAGTCTTTCATTCACCATTCAAGTTTTACTACTAGCACACACCACACAAGCATGTATATTGAATTTTAAAACTTGTGCAATGCAATCAATCATATGAATATGCTCACATAAATGCAATTATCAAGTTCATGAGCTTGCTCCCCCTACTTGTGTGCTCAGATTTTCAAATTTTAATTGATGATCCTCTTCCTTTATCATATCTCTCTCCTTTTTATTTCTCCCCTTTTATCTTTCCTTTGTATCATTCTTTGTGACTAATTTCTTCCCCTTTGTCATCAAATGACCACAAAAGGTACCCAATTTTAGAAGGAAGATTTTAGTCAATCATTAGCTAGAGGGGTGTGAATAAGGTTCTTGGGATTGGATCATTAGTTCAATTGGTTTAAACTAGACAACATG